GTTGGTTGGTTGGTTGGTTGGTTGGTTGGTTGGTTGGTTGGTTGGTTTTTTCTGAGACAAGATTTCTCTGTATAGTCCTGGCTGTTCTGGAACTGGCTCTGTAGACCAGGCTGGCCTGGAACTCACAGAGATCCACCTGCCTCTGCCTCCTGAGTGCTGGGATTAAGGGTGTGTGTCACCACACCCAGCAAGTTTTCTTAACAGTATCTGTATTTAATCAAAACAAAATAAGGGCAACAAATTTGGCTAATACAGAAACCACAAATGGCCAGGCACAGTGGCACATACCTTTAATCCTAACACTGAGGCAGAGGTGAGACAGGTGGCTATGAGTTACAGGCCAGCCGGCGATGTAGAGTGGGACAGTCTCCAGAAACAAAATGGCATATGACTTCATAGGGTGAGGAATACTGTGACAGACATGTCAGAGTAACTGAAGAGGAGAATTGGGTGGCATTCATAAATAAGTCATGAAGAGAAGTTTTAAAAGGGAGATGATACATAGTTATACTTTTTGGATTGTGTTTAAATTATTAATGTTGTGGTTTTCCTTGAAACTATTCTCTCCAGTTAATTCTCAGACTGAAAAGGAATTTTTTTCCTTTTAGTCTTGAGTTCTGATTCTGATGTTTACCATCTTCTGTCTGATGCCATCTCTCAGGATTTGAGTGAAAGGAAGGTTTGCGCCTCTGCTATGTTCTTCAGTGTGGCTTTATTTGCTGATGCTCATGTCCTGGGTGTATGTTTTATAACTCACCAGTGTCCACCGCAAGTACCTCAGATTGAACACTTGTCATATATTAGTTACCTAAACATTCCTCTGACCAAAAACTCTGACATAGGTAACTTTAAGGAACAGACATTTATTTTTGGTCACAGTTCAAGTGACACTGTCCACATGGCTGGGAGTGCATAGTGTCAGAAGTCACTCACAGCTGTGGTAGCAGGGATATAAGGTGGCCAAAGGTGGGCAGGTCAGGAAGTGACAGCTCTTGCCAGACCAGATATCACCTTCAAGACCCCCTGCTAGGGACCTACACCTGCCACCCAGGGAGCCAGAGGCTGACATCCCACACCTAAACCATGACATACACTGATTTGTCATCAACAGAAGCTGTTAGGAACTCTAGGAAGTGAGTACTGATTTAGGTCACTTGTTCTTGTCACCTTTTTCTAGAATGAAATTAAAGCATTGTCTGAGGAGAAAACTGCCATTAAAAAGCAGCTGGATTCCTCTAACAGCACTATCGCCATCCTACAAACCGAGAAGGACAAGTTAGACTTGGAAGTTACAGATTCTAAGAAAGAACAAGATGATCTTTTGGTGCTACTGGCCGATCAAGATCAGAAAATCCTGTCGTTGAAGAGTAAACTCAAGGATCTCGGTCACCCAGTAAGACTGAAATACCAGCACAAGTGATCTGTATTTGTAAAGCATGTTGCTAAGTTTAATGTTGCATGGGAAAGTCATGCCTATGTTAGCATGTGGAAATGTGGGGTCATGGACATGGTATTAGTAGTTGTATTTCTCACTATTCAGTGAGCCGATCATAGATAAGTCAAATTCTCTTTGCAATATTTGAAGACCTGGAGCCTAGAACAAAACTGGTTCCCCTGCTCCTAGGTGATAAGAGTCCCCATCAGGGTGAGTTGGGTGCTCACTGTTTTTATCACAGTGGGTTCAGATTTGTGGGTAGAAAAGTATGACCATTTATCATTAAAGTTAACTGAGTAACATAACCCATTCATGCTAAAAATGACAGGAAGCCCTGAACATTATGAAGTCAAGGAAATCTGATTCTACTACAATGACAAACAGACTATTAATATTTATTATCATATGTTTTACATGTATATGTTTATCATGTGTATTGTCTTGTGCATATATGAACAAATCTGTATTTTCCCCTTAGGTTGAAGAAGAATATGAATCTGGAGACCAAGATGATGATGATGAAGAAATTGATGATGGTGACAAGGACCAGGATATCTAGCTTTAAACCCTAGGAGTGATAGCAATTATGTCATTGTGTTGAAGAAGTCTTAAGACAGTGCTTTGGTTTGCCTCCACAGAAAATAAAGACAGAACAGGTGGAAAGCATTCGCTAATGAAACTATTGATGTATGTTTTTTTTTTTTTTTTTAATATTGCCACTCATGTGGAGAACTCTAACTTCATGTGGAAGTTCTATTTATGTTCATCTGAAATCTCCCAAAATACAATTTGCAAAGAGCATCAGGCTTCAGAAATACACCACTTGAAGGCGTGTGCTGGCAATGCAGTTTGCCTTACTGGCTCACTGGTTGTTTGCTTTTCAGAATCTGTGAGTTCAGAACTGACATATTTGATTTAATGTGTATTGAATGGGAATCATTATTTCTAAATCAGCATTTGCATTCTCAGCTGATTACTTCCTTGTAAAGACTCTACATAAAGACAGGATAGCCTTGGCTCAGGGGTCCTGTGTATTATCACCCCTTCCCCACTGTGCCTCCCAGAGAGCAGAATGGGACAGTTTAGAGTGAGTGTTTGCCATCAACAGGGCCACACTCTGCCTTCTGAAAGGAAAGACTGCAGGAGTGTGGAGGGCAGTCTGGGAAACTGCAGCAATCTAGTAATGTGGCTGGTTTTCTCTGTTTAAGCTAAAGATGGAAAATAAATTGTAGTCAGCAGTTCACACAGCTGGGATTTAGTATTGTTTGATTATCATAAAATGCGTTCTTAGTTTTAAAAAGACCCAAAACTATGATTTATATAATTTATTGGCATTTTTGCTGAATAGGTGTAAGTCAGAAAATAGATTTTTAAAAAGCAAATGAAGCAATGTGTCAAAGTCTAATGTTTTCATAATAAAAATAGATATTATGTTCACTTAATCTCTGTCATGGTTCCCTTTGTTTAGGTTTTAACAAAGTATTTAATTCATCCTAAGAAGTAAGTCAAGTGGAAATGCTACAGAGACTTCTAATTTTAGTGTTCTCTTGCTGTGAAGATCCATCATGACCAAAGCAACTTTTGTAAAGCAAAACATCTAATAGGGGACTTGGTTACAGGGGTTTAGTCCATCATCATCATGGCAGAGAGCATGGGCGGCACACAGGGTTCTGGAGCAGTGGATAGAATCCACAAGCCAAGAGAGAAACCCTGGGCCTTCACAGCCTTTTGAAACCTCAATGACACATTTCCTCCAACAAGACAAGATCTCCTAATCTTTCTAATCCTAATCCTATCAGAATCTCTCCCTGGTGACAAAGCATTCAAATGTGGGCTATTTGGAGCTGCTCTTATTCAAACCAGCCGGCTTCTTTTTGTTTTCTTTGTAAACTGGATGTTAGGAGCACTCTTACGATTAAAGCCAGTGGCCAAGATTCTGTAAGACTGAAGGGACTAATTGGAGCAGTTGCCAGAGTGGAAGAGGTTATTTAAAGTGAGGTTTAGGTTGTTTGTTTGTTTGTTTGTTTTCTTCTCCCTCATTTTTTAATAGTTCCTTGATAATTCTGTACAATGTGTTTTGGTTATATTTACCTACCTCCCCTATCTCCTACTAGATCCATAGCCCCTTCCCTACCCACCCAACATTTTCTTCCCCAAGTCCAGTATATATGGCCTTTCACTAGATCACTGTCAGCCTACCTTCCAGGGGCTGTATGTACCTGTGAAGAAAATTGACTCTCCCTCTCTCAGCAGCTCTCAGCTGCCAGCAGCTCCTCACCTAGGGGTAGGACTTAGTGCTCACCTCTCTTCTCCACTCTGGGGTCATGTGTGCCGTGAGCTTGTACCCACCCTGTGCATGCTGTACAGTTGCTCTGAGTTCCTCTGTTCAGTACTGGACTCTGTGTAAAACCCTGTTTATCAACAGTCCCGACTTTTGCACTCTTTCCACTCCCTCCTGTGTAATGATCCCTGAGCCTTGGGGAGTGTGTGTGTGTATGTGTAATACAGCCGCCCCACTGAGGGCTGAGCATTGCAGAGCCTCTTACTTTGCGTTGTGAACCACTTGTGTCTCTCTGTATTGAATGGTAGGAATAGAAGCCTTTCTGCTGTGGGTTGAGGGATGTACTGTCTGGGGGTATAATGATAGATCGTTGGGAGTCAATTTAAAGGAGCAGGTCCTCTCTTAAGGCCTGTGACCCATCTAGCCCCAAGTTCTTGGCCCAATAACACTGCTAGATGTGGGTTTCATCTTCTGCAGCCTTAAGTCCAATTTAAAAAAAAAAAAAGTGTTTGGTTGTTCCTATGATATTTGTGCCACTTCTGTACCAGTAGGCATATTTTTATTATAGCTTGCAGAGTTCACAGCTGGGTAAAATTGATGCATACATCTCTTCTCCAGGAATGTGTGTGGCACATTCCAGTACATGGTTTCTTCAGCAGTAGGGTTTTGCTGTCAAGTTCTGGAGGGTGGTTTTGATATTTTTACATTCACACTGGAATTCTTAGCAGGTTTTAAAGAAGTAGTAATTGATTTAGCAGTCTGTGGTAGCTCATAGCCATAACTTAAGAGGCTGAAGCAAGGAGAATTGCCACAAGTTCTAAGCCAGATATGGTACATAGTTCTAGGACTATATAACTAAGAATATCAAAAAAGGGGGCTGGGCAGGGGCAATGGGAGAGCTGGCTCAGTGGTTAAGAGCACCTGCTGCTCTTAGGACTCAAGTTCAATTCATAGCACCCACATGGCAGCTCACAACTGTCTAACTCTAGTTCCAGGCTAACAAACATTCTCTGGTCTTCACAGACACCAGGCCTGCATGTGGTACAAAAATGTGAATGCAGGCAAAACATCCATATACATAAAATAAATAGAAGGGGCCTGAGGAATTCACTTAAAGATAGGATACCAAAGGCTGAAGCTAATTTCTGTCATTTGTCCTGAGTACAGGGATGGCTGTGTAGTTCAGTTACGGGCACAAACTTCTGAATGAGTGCTAAGTGTTGTTATAATGAAAGAAAATGCCAAATGTTTGATTTTTACCAATAAAATCTCAGAAGCCAGATGCAGGGGTGAAAGCTCCTAGCTTGGAGAGGCAGAGAAAGCACCCAGCTGATCTCCTCAGCTGATGTCCCAGAAGGAAAAAGCTGCTTCTACACAGCTCACATCCTAAAAGGAAAAAGCCCTTCCTACTCTGTTCACAGCCCAGAAGGAAAAGCCCTTCCTACTCAGCTCATGCCCCAGAAGGAAAAAGCTCCCATCCCATGCTGCCTTAAATACCCTTCAACTTAATGTCCCTCCTTTCTGTTTACTCGGTGTCAGCTGGTTCTTGCTTCCCCTCTTACCTAGGTTTAACTTTAATCCTGTGTACAGAAAGCTCTTGGATTAAAGGTGTGTTATAGGGATGAGCTGCACCAAACAAGAAACAGGTTTTTACAGTTAACAACCTCAGGGTTCACAATGGGATCAAATATCCTGCAACAAGTAAGTAGTCATATGTCTTTAGGAAAAGAGATGGCTGTATGTAGCAGAGCACCCCCGAAGAGCTCCCCATGCCCCTGCCTACCACTGTCCCACTGCTGCCATGAATCCTGACTCCAGCATGATCAAGCTCTGTACATGACTACAGATAGCACAAAGTATCCAGTTCCTAACTGCCACCCCAGAGCCTTGTTCTTTCTGAGGAGAATGATTTCTATACTGATGTGATGAAAGCCCCTCAAGTGAGACCCCTACCAAGCCCTTACAATAACTGACTCTTCAGAGTGATGGTCACACTTTCTGGAATGTTGACAGTCTAATTGCTTCTCAGAGTAGGTGCTGTCTAGAGTCCCAGCTCACAAGTTAACAGTTATCTTATCTGGAATTATGATAGGAATCAGATATGTACATTTCATTATTTCTGTTGCAGCTATCTTAGGTCCTTATGGTTTGAATAGGAATGACTCCCGTAAGTTCATATGTTTAGCTGCTTGGTCATTAGGGACTGGTACTACTTGAGAGGGATTAGTGGGTGTGGCCTTATTAGAGGAAGTGTGTTATTGGAGGTGGACTTTGGTTTTCAAAAGCCTAGAGCAGGCCCAGTGGCTCACTCTCCCTGCTGCCTTCAGATCCAGATGTAGAGCTCTGAGCTACCTCCACAGCACACATGTCTGCATGTGTGCCACCATGCTTCCCCACCATGAGGATAATGGCTGAACCTCTGAAACTAAGCCAGCTCCAATTAAATGCTTTCCTTATTAAGAGTTGTCATGGGGGTGGAGAGATGGCTCAGAGGTTAAAAGCACTGGGTACTCTTCCATCAATTTCCAGCAACCACATGGTGGCTCACAACCAACTATGAGATCTGATGCCCTCTTCTGGCATGCAGGTGTACATGCAGGCAGAACACTTTATACTAAATAAATAAATAAATAAATAAATAAATAAATAAATAAATAAATAAAATGGCTTTTTAAAAAAAGTCACAGTCATGGTGCCTTTTCATGGCAATAGAACACTAAGACAGGCTTTATACTGCTCCTCAGGAATAATCTTCATTGGCAGAGAAAAACTCATTTGTTTAGTCAGCCGTAAGCACTGGGGATATAGCAGAGGGAAAGACAAAAGCCTTGTGTTTACATCCTAGAGTAGCAACAATAAATATACAAGAAGCCTGCATATTGTTCAGAGCTTGACAAGAAGACAGAAGAGTGAGTGATTAGATACACTACTGTCCACAGATTACATTTCTGCTATGTTGAGAATTGTCTGGGGCAGAGGTCATGAAGGAAGTCAAGAGACCACGCAAGAAGCTGTTGCCATCGTTCTGACTATATTGTAGGGGTAACAGTGTCTAAAGTGGCGGAATGGAGATACATTCTGCAGGTAGAGCTAAGAGGACTCAAACAGCAAATATCTAGGGAATAGAGGAGGGGGAAAAAATCAGGAGCAGTTCCTGAAAAGGGCAACTTGGTTTGCTGTGTTCAAGATGAGATGAGCAAGTGATCAAGGGTTATGTTTCCTGTGGACTTGCTAAGCCTTCATTTCCACGCAGCAGCACAGTCCTAGCATGAGAAGGGGAATGCAGTACTTCATTATCCTGTGGGAAAAAACCTCCAAGGTATGGAGTATGGAGTAAGGACGTATGGGAAAAGATCATTGGTTGAAAGCTAGGGTACTAAGACATCTCATTAGCATGGGGAGGTGTATTTCCAGGAATCTCCAGGTGCACACTTAATGGGTCTCATCAGAAAAGGCTTGGCCCTGTAATCTCCCTGAAGGCTATGTGACATTCCTTACAGGACCTGGGGTTTCCTCAGATCAGGTAGAGAGGAGGGAGCCCAGCTAAGGAAAGGAGTCCATCGTTTAGCATCAAGCTCAAGGGCTTTCTGGTACTGCCAGACTTTGACGTTAACAGCAGGGTCCAACAAGCCCCAGGGTTCCAAACCAATGACAAAAGTTGTCTGTTTGAATTAAAAGTCAATGAATGAAAAAGGTTGAGATGACATGTTGGAATACTGAGCTGAAATTCATTGAGTGATAAACCCCAGATAAAAAATATCTCTAGAACCCCTGCACAGATGTAGCCCATGGCAGGTCAGTGTCCAAGTGGGTTACCTAGTAATGGGAAGAGGGACTGCCTCTGACATAATCTGATTGGCCTGTTCTTTGATCACTTCCCCCTGAGGGGGGAGCAGCCTTACCAGGCCACGGTAGAGGACAATGCAGCCACTTTTGACGAGAACTGATAGAGTAAGAACAGAAAGGAGAGGAGAACCTCCCCTATCAGTGGACTTGGGGAGGGGCATGCATGCAGAAACGGGAGGGAGGGTGGGATCGGGAGGGGAGGTGGGAGGGGCTTGTGGGGAGATACAAAATGAATAAAGTGTAATTAATAAAATAAATATCTCTTGAGACAGGCAGCGGTTACACACACCTTTGATCCTAGCACATGGTAGGCAG